TTTATAGGTTGTAATAATTAAAAAATATTTTATAAATGAAAATTGAATTTGAATAGCTATTTTCAACAGAATATTCATTCGAACAAATTACTTTCGTTTAAAAATGTCTTAATTAAAAGAATCAACGAGCAAATATTGCATGCTTGGATTTTATTGCTAATAAAACCAATAATTAATAAATGATTTTCTCATGTATTCATTTACAAAGAAGATGATCGGATTATAGAGAACGCTTTCTATCCTGTACTAAAGTTCTGAGTTAATATAACCAAATGATGTAATTGGAGAACAGAAAGCTTTTTAGTAAGCATTATCTTAAATTTGTAAAATAGTTTATCAATCTAAATGGTGGAAAGCTTATGATAATTAGAAAACAGATCCATTATAAGCAAAGGTAGATAGGGGCTAGCAGTGAAATCCAGGGAGCACGTGTCGTCCTATTTGGTACTCATCAGCTAGATGTACTTGCTACACAGAGTTCATATCCACTCTGGGACTCGAAACCAGCACCGTTTGCTTCAAACGCCATTGTATTATTCACTTAGCTACTGAGTTCTAATAGCTGCCTGCTTGTGAAATGGGGTGAAGTTTTAAATTCATTTGGTGCTGTTTACTTGTATCATTTTTGTATGTAGATAAGTTTAGATTAGATATTAGCCTTATCAATATACGTTCCATTTTCGAATCTAAAATTCTTGAAACGAATAAGAAATAAACCAACTAAATTATAATTTAAAAACTAACTGCATTAAATTGCAAATTTACGAAAATATTTTATGAGTCACTCTTCTTTTTATTGCTTGAAAAAGGAAAATATACAAAAGTTGAATTTATAAGACTGATATTATCACAAAAAGTTTAGATAGATTTGACTTAATTTTGCTAAATACTTATTTACTAGTTATTCGCTCATGATTAATTTCCTATTATGTTTACGTAGACGGATTCACTCTGTAGGTGATATCTATCTGAATAATAACTGTTTACAATCACATCCACACAAATAAGTAATATAAAGACAAAATATTAATCAAACATTATGGAGTCTTCTTATTGTTAATCAGTAAGTAATTTAAATGATATAAGGAAAATTGAAATTAGACAAGAGTTTTCGTATGTTTTGAAACATATCCTCAAATTAATATTAAAAACTAGTTATTTCATTCTGTAATGTAACCATTACTTTTTACATGCTACATCCATATTATTTAAGACTGTTTTAGAATACAGTTTAAAAATATATGAAATGTGACTCACAATACTGGTACGATATATTACCATGTAAATTACATAAATATCCACCTTTATATCTGGAAATTATTCGATTATTCATATAGTAATGTAAAACAAACATATTAGAAAATTAAATCTATTTTAATAAAGTAAATAATAAAGTAAAAATAAGGTCTCTAAGCACATTCACTTCATTTAGATTACTTTGATAATGAAGATTAGCTTTCAGAAATGATGATGACAATTCAACTACACTTCTACATTTACTGCAAAAATGATCTAACTGAGTTGTCACTAGTTCATCAATTAAAACTATAATTCTAATTAGGTGAATTATTTTCATAATACTGGTAACATTGAAAAAAAAAACTAATATACACCCTAATTAATTTTCATTAATACAGTAACATAAATTCGTATAGGCTGAAACATATGATAAATAGATATTATATGTTTTTAACGCCTATTTAGAAAGGCCAAATCGTATATATATATATATATATATATATATATATATATATATATATTCATGCATATGGTTTGTTAGCTAGAGATACTATAAGACATTCACATAACAACAGTGTATGATTGAAGTCACTAAAGTTAATTGAAGCTACAGACTAATAAAATTAATTGACTACAATGATATAATTAGGTAAGGGTTAGTACAACATTAAGAATATCTCCTATCTATTTTAAGCGTTAATTTTTAGTTATCTAATGATGTGATCGAGTTATTTAACACTGAACGGTGTAGAGAGGAAGAATTTTTATTTGAAAATCATTTGTTTTGGTCAATACTAGTAGCTTTAGGGTATTCTATTTTTTTCATTCTATAAGAATATTCATATTAATTCGACTGTTTTTGATTAACCAATTATATTTTTCTTACAACTAATAATTATTATTTGTTCCCAGATAATAATCTTTCACCATTAACATACCCTGACTAATATTCATGTTTTCAGCTATTTATATTATTGTAATTAATGAAATTATTATTACTATTATTATTAGAAATAATTTTACTTACTATCTTCAACTCCAATCATTTTCTGATTTACATTATTGCAATCCATGTAGCTACTTTAACCCTAGGCTACGTTAACATTATTGATTCTCCTCTCTTATTTTCTATGAAATAATTTTGATTAATCAATAAACGTTTTGTACTTTATTGACGACCTCATTGGATTTAATTGAAAAATAAACTTATTCATTATCAAAGGGTATTGTCAGAATTGTTCGTTTAAAAATTTCCCATCATTTCATGGTGAATTCATGAATATGTATATACGTATAGACAGAGACAGAAAGAAAACTAAGATTGCCTAGAACAAAATGTACGAAGTGCATATGTTGCACAAAGTTGGCTTATTATTTTGGTAAGGTTTGTAAAACAGAATTTACAAATAGTTAACCATTGGTCATTTTCATTATCAGTGGAATATTTCTTTGAAATGTCGAAAAGCATTAAGTTCAAAATTAGAAGTTTGACGCAAAACCAACAGTCGATTTCCTCTTGAATCACTGAAACTGATTAAAAGAATTTTAAACCGATAACCGGTAGATTGTTAATTTACACTTTTCAAAAAATACCAAGCAATAGTCACGTATAAACAATAACGTTTGCTAACCAACGCTAATTTAGATAATTGGTTTAAAAAATAGAAACCAAACAGTTCGTTTATCGACTATTAAGACAAGAAACATAAATTAGATAAAAAGTGAGAAACAAAAAATTAAGTTAGTTGAGTAAATTTTGCTTGATGGTACAATGATCAAATAAAGTTATGCAAAAAGTGAATTTCTACATCGACCAGAGTCAAAAAATACTAATAACTAATCAAAATTAATTGGAAAAAAGTGATTTCAGCTTTAAAACATAATTTTAGTTAATCAAGAATACTTCATATATTCAAAAACAAAAGCATTCACGACGTATTTATATATAAAGAATTTTTCATCAGTTAATAAAATTAATGAAAATTAAAATTCTCGTGATTTAGTTCTGGATATTCCAGTTTTGTCTTTTTCAATGAAGGAAATTTTTTATTTAGGGTCAAAAATTCTAATGTTTATTGTAGATTATATAAAAACGTCATGCTGAATTAGTATAAACTCGTCAAAAAATATTGACTGATGTTCAATTTCGAAGTTCAACATAACAGTCCTTAGTTGTCCCATGTCTCACTCCATTTAGATCTTATGGTGATGATTGTCATCGAAATATACATGCCGCTAATCCTCGTATATTTTCATAGACTTAATTCGCGTTGCGTAATAACGGAATAAGTCAAATACGAGAATGAATATTTGAATGTGTATATTTCATGCACTCATTGGCCTAAGCAGACAACGATGTGACGCACAGAGGAGAAGGTGAGTGAGCTAACTCGTTTCGGTCAAGCGTGACTCGACACTTATATTCAGACAAAAATACGTTACAGGTACATAATGAAATAGGGTAAGCAATTAATACACATCTGAAAACATTCAGGATTAATAAGCGAATAAGCGACAAAGTAAAAATGTGGCTTGTGAAGAATGAATAAATTGATCTATCTAGAAGCTAGAATAACCTATGTGGTCTTGACATAGTGCCACTCCACTACAAGTTTGGCGAAAACCAATAAGACCTTGGATTTAAACTTGAAAAAATCAAACGGTTTATGTATTGAATACCACTACTAATGAAACTTCAGTGTATGCAGATGCCTATTTACATAGAAATTCATCACAATACATAAAAGATAAGTTTTTACAATATTTAAAACTCAATAGAAGGAATAGAAGGAATTTTGGCTACATAATTCGTGAGGCATCCCATCAACGGAATTGTAAATAGGATATTGAAACGTCTCCATGAACAACTCCATTCCTACAAACAAACTACCAGCTTATTTTTCACATATTCCTCATCACTTCTAACCGCTAATACCAGTATACATAGAGAACACTGCTCGGAGTACCACATTATCTGACATAACTGACGCCACCAAAGCCATACAACAAGCACAGACTAAATGAGACACCAGTTACTTACTCCCTTATATCCGGACTATGTTAAATTTGTCTCTGCTGTTCTGTTCGTACTCCTATGAGGAAAAGATATGTGGTCACATTGAAGTAGCGACCCAATGTCCTGTATCCAAGACATGTTTGGTCGATACCTTGAAATCCTTTAAAGTGATTAGTAAGCAGCTTAACGCCCGTCTTCTGAAGTTTGCTGAAGCCGTTGCTATCAGGAGTCAAAAACCTGACTTAAGTGTTCAAAAGGAGATGGTTATTAATCTTTCCTTGCCGTGACGACAAATATTCCTTCGTTGCATCTTAAACTCCTTTTTTAAACTCTCTCTTGCATTTGTTACATTGCTGAGTTTTTATTTCAAATATCTTCCAGATTAGTAATCTTATTTTATTAACTGGGCTTTACTCACTTTATTCCTATCAGAGTTTACTCATTATGTAATTGCTTGTTTCTGGCCCTTTTGAACTGTCGTCACAATCAATGTTTTAGAATGTTCTTTTACATAAAGTATATATTTACAATATTCAGCCTAGCAAGTTAATTTACATCCTTGCTATACTAATATGTCTTCAACATAACTTCCGACTAAACACTTTCATGTAAGTAATATAAAACCATTCTGTAACCATGATTTTAAATATCACAGGTTGTAGCAGCTGACGAGAACGAACGAAATAAATTGATTTCATGCTATTAAGAATATTTTGTTAAAATATCATTATATTTTTATACTCACTTGTAAATTTGTCAAAGCATTCATCTCTTCTAGTAGGCACTGTACCATTGCTATATTCTGTCGATTGACAGCCAAATGTAATGGAGTTTGTCGTAATGCATTTCTAGCATTTATATCCAAAATTTCTTGACCGTCAAAACGATTGTTATTTTCAATTGTTGGAGAATTATCGTCTAGATCGACGAGATTTCCTTCGACTACATCATTTTCTTCTGAAATATTTACCAACCTTGATGTTATATCAGTATGTGGCCGCATTAAAAGTCTTAAAATATCAATATTTCCACTCTGAACTGCTGAATGAATAGCTTCATTATCAGAAGAATCCAAATTTCTACGTCTGGCTCCATATTGTAGTAGTAAGATAACACAAGCTAAATGACCAGCTTGACAGGCAGCGTGAAGTGCAGTCAATCCACTAGAAATTCCATTCACCTATGATAAAAGATTTATCGGAAATTAGATAACTATTTAGGCCATGGACGTTTTTAAGATATAAACTGTAAACGTCATGCTCCAAATAGTTCAGTAACAATAACTCTAGGTGGAAAGTATTTCTACGAACCTCCAGAACAAATATAAATGAATGTTAATATCAGTTTCTATCACGTAAACTACTATTAAATTTAGTGAAGAGGCAAACTGTTGACTAGGAAAGTAAATATGAGGTCATTGAGCAATAGTGGGACTAGAATAAGTGAGACTACACTAAATTTTCAAATATCTACCTATTATATATATAGTGCTGTGAATAGAGCTTTTCAATAAAGATGAGATTCAAACTTTCAAATTTTCTATTAAGAGTAATCATTAGATACAATGCTGCTCGTAATATAATCACGCAATCAGTCCATACATAACATTACGAAACTTTGATAAGGCTTGACAGTTTCTTATCGAAATTATATATATATATATATATATATATATATATATATATATATAAACTGCAGTTATTTAGCTTACGTCTACATTATGATGCTGCAAAAGACATTTCAAGCGTTTCACATTTCCTTCATTGGCTGCCTGAATTAAATCTTCCGAATTGATACTATGAGTTTGTGCATGTGAACAATCTAGGGAAAAAAGGCAGTCAGGTTAGGGAACATATAGCAGCTAATTATATATATATATATATATATATATATATATATATATATATATATATATATTAGTGAATTGTATTATAAACAAACACTGATTCAATGAAATGTCAGGAAGTAAGTAGCTATTATTTAGTTAGACCTAGTCAGCTTCACAATCTACTGTTGAACTTTAATTTTTTACTATGTGAACTCTGTTTGAATAGGTCAATAGTTCCAACGATATTCTTCTTTTCTTTATAACTGATAGGTGAATTACTTACTTACGCCTGCTACCCCTCATGGAGGAGCATAGGCAAGTGGATATCTATCTAAAAGTCTAGGAATGGGTACTGGCATTAACAGAGCCATTAGAACATTTTAAGCTAACATTCATGTGCAGGGCACCACAAAAAAGCACATCTAATAATAGTTCATAAACATACCCTATCTACTTAATAGATGTTATCAAAATGCACATAATATCATTAATTGTTATTCAAGATAGAAAGTGATCTTTTACATAAGTCCGCTCTTTTTTATTAATTGTATCATTAAGTTTAGCATTACCGAAACACAGATAAGAAAATCTTTAGGGATTAAGTTCAGTGAAAATGGACCGTTACTAATTTTGACAAGTAACTCTTACTAGGTGTCTCCATGTTTGGTTGTTCGGAATCATCAGTTGGAGGTGTATGAGGACTCATATCCAACGGATTTTCAGCAAAAACAGTTTGTAGCTGGTTGTAAGCACCATGCACTGATCGTGGTCCTGCTTCAGTATGACTTTGTATTCTAATAGTTTGTGGACCTGTACTATTGTTTTCCCGTATAACTTCATCTGCTAATGTTGTATATCCACAAATTAAATCTTGGTTAGAGGAAGAACTATTGTGCAATCCATCTCTGGTATGCAAGGCGAGAACTCTCCCACGATTAGTGATGGCAATCTGTTGGAAAGAGAAATCTAAAGTTTACTCTATGAGATACTGAACTAGTAATGCTGAAAAAATCTAGGTAAAACAATTCAGCAAAATCATCAATTTAGGCTTTCCAAACTTATCGCTAAACATTATTTGGTTCAGTGTATTTTGATTGTGGCTAGCAGGAGAATTCTGGATGTACGTTTCTTCCTATATATGACTTACTTAAGCAATCCAATCAATATCCAAATTTGGCAGTAGAGGTGATTCATTCTTGAGTATCGACAATAGGAGTTTGAAAACTTTTACAAATTATTAGTATAGGAGCTTGTGAAGATTGTTGAATGAGATTCAGATCACAAAACAACGTAAGCTAGACAAACATTAAGAACCATAGAGCGCCAGTCCGAGTTAAAAATGTTAATTAACAATAAAGAATGGTGGATTTGAGGACGAAAGTAAATGTGCTGTATGGTGTAGTTCGAAGATTGAAAGATTTTGTCCCCATATACAGATTTAGTGAGAAGTGAATCCAAAATAGACGATTGTTTGACGTTGCGAAAGTTGACTGGTGGAATAAAGAGGAAAATGTGTACACTGGTTATCTTCTATGAGATTTCGATGACGGTCATTGTACGAATTGATTTTTTCATAGAATTTAACGAATTATCTTGAAAATCTGTTATGGCAATGTTGTAAAAAGAGATCTAGCTACGGTATATATGCATCGAAAATTCAAATTCACACGATGGAATTACAAAGGAAGTTATTTTTCGTTCTTCAAGTTTTTAGTAAATTTTTATATGAATATTTAACTAAATAGATTGACTTTATGCTTTGTTATTGTGAGTTCTATAAAGAAAAGCTTACCATAAGGTTTTTAGTCTGATAAAATATTATTTTCACTCAGTCAATCAATTAGCTACAATATAGGACCAGACACATATATACATCTGTCCAACTTGCCATACCTCATAACACAACAAGATGGTCACCAAATTCATTGACGTAGTTACTTCAATGATAGCAATAAATAAAAGGAAGATTGTGCATAAGGATATAATACAGGAATAAAGAAATAGTTCGTAGAAAAAAAGATATAAAGCGATTTCAATCTCACGGTTTAAGGGGAGACAAAGAGTGTATACACCTACTCCATGTGATCGATTCTGAGCCATGTCACCAACAGTCTTCAAACATTGGTTACGATAGTCATGCGGACCCCAACCAGGTAGTCTGCATCTACCAACATGGCTCAGACCAGAAGTTAATGACTTCAAGCACTGATGCCATGTTTTGGTTTGGTCGCCCCTAACTTTCTTCCAACCATCTTCAACACTAGCCAAAATAGCGCGTCGTGGCAATCGGTGTTCAGGCTTACGCAACACGTGGCCCAATCAACTCAGTCGATGAAGATTCACAACCCCATCAACTGATTTACCATCGTCCCCTAATACCCTGTGTCTAACCTCACTATTACTTACCCGGTGATCCCAGCAGATACCCGCAATATTTCTAAGACATCTGTGGTCAAATATTAACAGCTTACGAGTATCTTCTACTCTTAATGGCCATGTTTCACAACCGTAAAGTGAAACAGAACGAACTGCCGCGCAGTATACTCGTCCCTTAATTGATAGACGGATATCTCGCCTTTGCCATAGGTGACGTAAGTTGGCAAAAGCCAAACGAGCTTTTCGAATCCGTGCTGAGATTTCGTCAGACACCAACCCATTAGGGATGATCAGACTTCCAAGATAAGTGAAGTTGTCAACGCATTCGACTACTTCACTCCCTATCCTTAGTTCAGGTGTTGATGAAGACCAGTCCTGAAGCAACAATTTGCGTTTAGAGGGGGAGAAGCCCATCCTAAACATCCCGGCACTGTTGCTCAGTGTTACCAGAAAACTCTGCATTTTATCAGCGTCTTCACCAAACAGGACTATGTCATCTGTGTATTCTAAGTCGATAAGTGGACCTCCTGGAAGGAGACCGATACCCGAGAATTCAGTTGACAAGAACGTTATTTGCATCAGTAGGTCTATGATGATGGAGGAAATGGACAGCCTTGACGGCCACCTTTTGAGGTTGCAAAAGCAGATGACAGTTCGCCATAAGCTCTGACTCGACTAGTAGTGTTCGATTAAAGAGCCTTCACAAGGTTTATGTACTTCTGAGGCATGCTTTTCAACGACGGATACTGCCACAGAGTCTCGTGGTCTACGGAGTCAAATGCTGCTTTTAAGTCAAGGAAGACCACCATTGTCGGACGCCGATAAACATGCCTATGTTCTAAGATCTGACGAATGGTGGACATGTGATCGATGCATCCATGATCAGGTCTGAAACCAGCCTGATTTTCTGGTGTTTGCAGTTTACGAGTCTTAGTTAAGCGACCGATAGTTATCGAAGCTACTATTTTAGATGCTATATTAGTCAAACTAATCCCACTATGGTTTTCACAAGATGATTTGGACCCTCTCTTATATATTGGGACGATCAGCGATTGTGACCAGTTAGATGGGACTACGTCCAACTTCCAGATTTTGGCTAAAAGATTAGTCAACTTAATCGCTAAAACTGGACTACCATCCTCAAAGACCTCCGGATCCAATCCATCTGGACCAGTTTCTCTTCCTCGTTTCAGATTAGCTATAGCTTTTGAACCTCAGTTAGAGTCGACGGGCCTACTTCAATGTTTCATTCAGGTTGTTTCGGAAAAATGGGTAGTTGTAGAGTAGCTAAACGCCATCTGAACTGCTTTTTAAGGTGTCCCGTAAATCGTTGTAAACGTCTGGACTTAGAGCTGATAAGATTGTCGTCTTTTTCCGAGATCGTCTCACTTACATTTGACTTCTTAATTCCAGTTTCTTTTATTAGTCTGGAAAGCTATCTGTTGTTACCTAAAGCCTCTGTACTTCCCATCCCTCTTGCATTCATTGCCTATCACTGCTCACCATCGTTCCATAGACTTTTGGTTAATCATCTCTATTCACTAACATTCCACTACTTGAAACGGTAGATTTTATTTGCAAAGAACTGACAGTGAGGCTCACGAGAATATAAAAAATCTATCGGTCAAGAATAATTTCATAATCTAGATTTGATTTGTTTTGGCTCATCATCGTGTTTAGAGTTCAATGGGATACGTTTACGAGAGCCTATCAGTGCAATAGGTGTTGCAGAAATTCACTACCTTAGAAATTGCTGAAAACAACTATTCATTCAGTATGTGGCCTAATAAGAGTTAAGGGATGGTATACCGAGGATGAGTACCAGGAAACATGGTCAGACTTTGTTGTAGATTCCTCTCATTATAAACCATAAGGGTAATGCTCGGACATACGTTTAGAAAGTATTCGCTTTTAGGGTCGACATTGATTTATTTCTTGAACTGTCCTCAAGCTTATGTGCTTGTTAGCAACCGATATTATGAATTTTAGCAATCTATACTGATAGAGTTTTATAACGAATTAAAAGCGAATACATATGATCGAATAGGACCTTTGTGACATCGTCCATTTGTGAACTTGGTAATGTATTTCTAAATTTCTAAGATCAGTTGAAGCATTTACAGCCTACTAATGAATACCGACAAGCACGATATTGAAAGTCAGGTTATTTCTATAACTCCATACAAAAATAATAGCTCTTACCTATTTATTTTACACACTATATTAAGATTTAAGGATAAGCTACATTAAACATCTTGAATAAACACATTGAAATTTTGATTAAGATCATGAATCGATCAATGTTAGACCACCACTAAAAGCTTTAAAGCCTCGGAAGGCTGTTTCATCCTATTACGAGACCCCTCAAAAGTGCGTATCTACGGTCCGGTATGCGAGATTTGAACCCGGGACCTTCGGTTTCATGCGCGAACGCTTAACCTCCACTGAAATTTATCATTTACATTTCTCTAAGCTTTTAGCCACTGAAAAATTTTCAGTGCATTATTCCCGCAGCGTATTGTGAAAAACTACCTATTTTCCACTGTTTTATTGGTTGAATATATCGTAAAATGCAAAGAAGATTCCCTAACTAATATAATACTTTTAATAGGAAATTTTTTTAAATACAAGACCAAATAGAAGTATTTTTAGTTATCAACTTGAACTACTGATAAATAGCTAGTAGTCGATGTTTTTGATAAATAATATCCCTTATACTTAAGCTATAAAAATACATCTAAGAAATGAATGGAGATGATAACTCGGAATAACTATATCTGAGTGAAACCAGTTCATCGGATTTAAATCCCCTAAAGACTTGCAGCCGCTTCCTTTGGTACGCCATAATTCCTTACTCACTGAACATAAGGTTACGAGATCAATCTTAAATTTGCTAGGATACTGATCTCATGGATATTAAAATAAATTTATTCTACCTATGAGCTTACTTTTTTTACTCTGTATTCTGCAACGCACCTCACTTACTTTCGTCTAGATTTCAAATACTGAACAATGTGTTTTGTTTTCAGTGACTTTGCTTGTATTCACTTCTATTTTGATTGGCTTTGAGTTAATAAGTCGACTGTCCCAACAAACATTGTATCTCAGAAACAGTGATGGACCATTAAAAGAGAAGGTATCTCATAAAAGTACTCAAACAAATAAGTCCTCTGCTTAAGAGGATTAGCTGTTTGTAATTTGATATTAAAATGAGGAAAAGTTATTAAGTCCGAAGAACATTAAACTGCAAGACTGACAGCCTGGATTGGATAAATTGATCCACACTAATAATAAGGAAATTACTACCTTTACCAATTTCATTATAGATACTCCCCAGCCATAAGTAAACCTTGTCATTTAAAATTAACTTGCCTCTGTGTGTAGATAGCCTACCTTTTCTACAAATGATGAATATTTTTCACGTATTACCTGTTAAAATAAATGTCATTTAGTGAATATTTAATAGACAAATGTTCTTCACTTTCGTTAAAAGTATGGTAAGCGATCAACCGAGGTGTATAGAATTCATTTACATGAATTATCCACGATCGGGTCTCACTTACTTGTCGAGGATACAATAAAGCGTTTGGATTTTTAACAGAAAAATTACAATAGACAATATATATGATATTACAACTTACGCGTGATTGAGAATTTCTACATTGGTTGTACGAAACAGAAGAAATATTAAGTTCTCGGGCATTTTGAATAATTCTGTGATCATTTGTTGAACACTGTATGCTTGCTGGTCGGTTGTCGCGAACAGCTGTCGACAAATGATCGTTATTATGTGAACGAGAATGATTTGCTGAATGATTCTGGTTTACTGGATTCGAATTACCCCGACTTGTAGGTGCCGATGGATTTAAAGAATTGGTCCTTAAGAAATCAGTCCATAGGGTACGGGCAGTTTGACCGAAACTTCGTAGACCACTGGTACCACTTGGTATGTTAGCTGCACGTGGGGAACTTGGTTCTTCAGTCTCTCTGTCTGTAGACCAACCATATTGTGGTCGACTTAGTCGTGAATGTGATCGCCGTGAATTAACATTAGTGCTATGCGAACTCTCGATTGAGGAAGGCTGTAGATGCAGTCTGCTAGCAAGAGTGCAAACGTTCAAACAGCTGGATGCTGCAGGCTCTTCATTTGATAACACATTACTGTTTGTTCTATATCCGGTATCTGTATATTGTCCACTATTTCCATCATTCCTAGAAATTCTACTCCGATAAGAGTATACATCCTCAACATTTCGAGTTGTTTGTCGGCGACGTGATTCAAGATCGTGAAGATTAGTCCAGCTTGGAACCACAGGACCTCTTTCTAAGTCATGTCTCGTTGCAAGTGATACTTCACCGTTTAATTCATCAGGCACACAAGCTTCATCGGAATATTGCCTTAAATCAGCAAGAAGAGGAAGGTGATCAACATAATACATTCCACCTTTAGAAGGTCTTATTGCCTATGCACAAAACACAAATTAAAAAACAAATTAAAAACAGTTATTTTGTGCTAAATAAATCTATATTTCAAGTAAACATTTGCAATGTATATTTACTTGAAAATGCAACTAGTCTGGTTAAAATTTCAAATGAATCATACATTTTTAGTGAACTATTTTTTAAGTTTTCAAGTTCAGATTCTCTTAGCTAACTAATCGTTCTGTAGGGCCCTATAAATTCTAGGTGATCTGTCATATATGTTATTAGGGAAATTCAAAGGATGATAATAATCGCTTTACACCATATGTGGTTGTCACGAATGTGACAAGACAATCTTAAATCATGAAAGTAGTTTCCAGCTGTTTACATTCTCACCAGTCAGACTCACTATAAGCCAAGATTGTAATTTGTGTGGCTTTCAATAAGCAAACAATTAAATAAAAATGTAATCTCTTTGGGAAAAGAATGTACTTACTTTAAGGTCAACTAATCCTCCATATCCAACTCGATAAACATTATACGCTCCACTATCCCAGGCGACCAAAGCTGCTGAACGCGGTGCCCATTGATACCAATCTCTTCTACCAGTTATGCGCCCTTGAGTAGGCAAAAGGATTGGACCAGCAGACGTTTTTTCGTTGTTCGAGCTCAAGTTAGATCTGCAAGCAATAGCTGATCCTGTTGGTCCTAGAAGTATCGATCCACTTGATGACGACGTTAGGGGTGAAACACAATCTTGACTATCCCAGCTCCAGTCTATGCCGCGAACAACTCGAGCTTTAGGGAAAAGACCCAATGATTCTACACGCCTTTGTTTTAAACGTCGACCAACAATAACTCTATTAGTAGGAGTAAAAACGAGTTCTTAATTGAAATTACTTAAAAAATTTTGAAGCTTATGAACTATTTAAAATTAATATACATTTGGACAAACATTGGTTCCTGCTGTAAGATACCTCCAAAGTTAAGACCAGAAGGTAGAAGACAATATAACTTAACCTTAAGCACCATGGTGATGTAAATAATATTGTGATGTCTTAAAAACATAGGTGTTTCGTTTAGTGATTTTGTTTTATTAGCTTTTAAATAGCTGATAAAAAATTGAATGTAAATATCTTGCAGTAAGTCCTGCAATCTAGTTAGTTCTAAACTGTCTTCTCTTCTGGTCTACAAGTGTTCTTTCTAGGCCACACTTTCGAACTTACTGAAACCCTTTTCTCCGCCTGTCGACTGTTACAGCTACCAAGCCACTTTCCACTACGCACTATTTGTTAGTAGTACTCATTGTTGAATCTCAAGCGTGTTGACCTCCGTGATTCTATCTTCACTGGTTCCGATCTGTCAGTTCACTGAACCTACTTTTGAGGCTAGCTAGCATTCACGCATTTCTCCTTGTTACCTTTCTTGATGGCATACACCGGTCTGGGTCTTTTTATGGCTATATATAGTCCTTCTCAATTGAGCAGCGGTTTTCGTGAACCAAGTTTGCTTATGGCTATCCCCTTTCGTTCTCTCTATTTAATCTTATCTCCTACTGAGAGGAGATTCTGCTGTTTCCCTTGACGCTATTCGGATCTCTTCACATCCATTGTTTGTTTCTGTTGCACATTCATCACCCCTTTTCCCAGCTCATCCTTCCACTCCTCAAACTTCCACCTCTGTATTTACGACCACGTCTTATTGTGTCCTAGCAGTCACGATGTCTTGCCAAACACCAACTAGAATGACGAATTTCTGGTGTTTTCATCGTTAGTTCATCGTTAGTTCCGTCTCCAAGTTACTTTCTTTAGCTGCCAGTCGTTCTTTTAGTTCGACGTTATTTCGTTTTGTTATCCCGTCGGTCAGCAGATAGTATAGAGTTTTTCGGATACTATTGATGCCCAGCTGACCTAGGGGAGATTTTAACTCGTCGCCCTGAAAACAAGCACCTTAACCTGTTCATATCATTTTCGGGACTCCATGATCCGCAACAATGTGTCGGACGGTTACTTCCGTCAGTTTTTCTGCGTTGGTCCGGGATCGCAACCGTGTCCAACGAAAATGTGAAGTGGTCTGTCATCGCTAGCATGTACTGATTCCTAATAAATGTTTGCGAAAACGGCTCCATGTCTACTGACCATTGTGGTATCTATCACGTTAGTAAACTTAATGAAATTAAGTGATATAGGCAACTCGGTGTAGCGAAAATATAATACGCGTTACATACACTGACTTAGCTGGCATCACCAAGGAATAATTTAGGAATTCTCTTCCATTTACTTAAATGATAAGTTAGGAATTTCAAAGTCAATATCTAACTAATTTGTTGTTAACTTGAAAATTCAGTCAAGTAAACATAAATATCATTCAAGAGGTACCATTTAAAACATTCAGAATTCGATAAATGTACATGAAAATTATCATCAGTGCGTAAAACTAGTTGGTTTAGACAACGTATAGTCTTTTGTAATTTTTAAATACTTGAATTTAGAGAAACGTAACAATCATTACTTCTACTTATGATCGACTTCATGAAACAACCATATTATTAGAATACTTAGTTACATGAGGTATAAAATAATAGCTAATTAGAATGTTGTTTAAATTCATTGATAATTTGTAGAATATAGAATGCAATTGATTTGCACATAGTTAAAAGAAGTTTTTTTATCCATGAATCATCAATGACAAAGTTATTTCAGATAAAGTAACATTGACAATTCATTATTGTAAAATTACTGTTTCACATAAAGTGAACATTCTTAAAGGCTACATTTTACATTTTTTGTAACGTATCACGTCAAAAACGTTTGAACTGTGTTAACAACAAACCGAACAACAGTTATAATCCCACAGTTATTTAACTTAACTTTTACTTGTTTCTCTCTCCCGAAAATCAAGATACTTATCACAAATCAAATTTTCTGCACCCACCAATGATAGCAATGAAAACGACAAATATCAGTTTTACGAGGGGCTACAATCTATCATAGCGAAGTGCTCAGAAAAAGACTTGACAATCTTGATGGGAGATCTAAACTTCAAAGTCAGAATGGATTATACTGGGTATCATGCGATGATATGGACTGACTGGAAGAAGAGAATAAGAATAATGAGAGATTTGCAAATGTATATGCATTTAACAAAATGGTTATAAGTGGCACAATATTCCCATACAAGCGCATACACAAAGCTATATGGGTTTCATCGGATCACACTATAGAGAACCAGACAGACCATATTTGCACCAGTAGAAAAATTCACAAGGCCAATGGGAGGCGTGAGAAGCAGAAGAGGAGCTAACATAGCTTCAGAACAACACTTGGTTGTGACCAGGATGAAACTGAAGCTAAAAAAAGCATTGAACAACTGGGGGAACAGCATTACAAAGGTTTAATACAGCCCTCCTTCGAGATACTAATAAACTCAATGAATTCAAAATAACTCTCAACAACAGGTTCCAAGCCTTCCAGGATCTACTGAAAAAAGAAACTACTATGGAGGATAACTGGAAAGGGATGAAAGAAACACTAACTTCAACGTGTCAGGAGCTGTTGGGTCATAACAAGCATCATCATAAGAAATGGATCTCTATCGCAACCCTGGACAAGATTCAAGAAAGAAAGAACAAGAAGACAGCAATTAATAGCAATTTGAAACAACTATATGACACGACGAAGAAACTGGTGGTGAAATATGGTAAACCAGAGAAACCGGTCAAGGACAAAAAATGCAAGCAGCACCCACAGACATTCCCATAGATGTCACTCCACCAACGGCCGAAGATATCAGGATGGCAATCAGATAAATCAAGAGCGGGAAGGTAGCAGGACCTGACAATATACCACCTAAAGCAGTAAAGTCACACATAGAAGCAACTGTAAACATGCTTCACGTTCTATTCATGAAGATTTGGGAGGAAGAACAAGTGTCAAACTGGAAAGAAGGACACAATGCATCAACTTCCTTGAGTATGACGAAGCATTTGACAGTGTGGATAGGAGAACATTATGATAACTTCCTCGACACTATGGAGCGCCTGAGAGGATCGTCAACATCATACGAAATTAATACGACGGACTACACTGCAAAGTGGTGCATGGAGGTCAGCTGACAGATGCACTCCAAGTGTGGACCCCTCCTTTTTCTTCTGGTGGTTGAATAAATTATGAAGACCTCCACATCCGAGAGGAAGCATGGAATACAATGGACAGGTTAAATGCAATTAGACGATTTGGACTTCTCAGTGTAGTGTACTCTACTCACATGTTTGTTTGTAAGTAGTATATAGCGAAGCATGTTTTCGAAGCTAACATAGTCGTTAGACGGAGAGAAGAGGTTCAATGTATCAAAGGCATGGCGTAAGCAGAACACTTGAAGACTAGACGAGAAGACAGTCCGGACTGAAGAAGATACAAATTGATGATCGAATGCTATGTATACGTAGCATACAAACACCGTAATTTCTCTCGATGAACAGTAGTTGATTAGCAGTGGATTAGCAGTTACGCAGAGATAAAAAGTCGAATTTTAATTAATTTGTGATTACAACAAATAGTTTCCACCCAAACATTACCTTGGATAAAAGCGTTATTAGATGAGCAAAATAAATATAAAAAATGTAACAAGGAGAACCCAGTTAATCAAGCTTCCCTTATGTATAACCGTTTGATGGATTGATATGAAAAGCATGGCCGTACAGTGATTAACATACAACAAATCCATTAGGATGTGAGTAAAGAAAGTTTCGTTACCATAAATTAAGTGTGTACCATTTGGATGTAAAGTTAGTAGATAAATACTCACCTAGTTTTGTATGGTGCTGTAATCCTTAAAAATTGGTGAGCCAGTGAATGCTTATCAGCATGATAACAAGTTGAACACAAATCTGTGCTTAGGCAAACTACACATTTCCATCGAATTCCATAAATTGGGGACTGAAACCATGGATTGAAACAGGTTGTATTTACCATAATTTCGAAACAAGAATAAAAGAAAAAAGAGTGTAGAGAAGTGTATGGAGTCCGTTATCTTTTCGGGATATATGTATATATAATAAGAATAAACATAAATGTTGAATTGAAGATATATTCACTTCAGATCACGGGTTTTGCTGCGTAGAAAATGAAGGATTGGGAAGCGTATATTATCTATATCCTGCGAACGACGATATTTAAGCAAGGTTTAGGGAACCTGGTTACTAACTGATAACTTAGAGATGAGCACAGCTCTTGGAACTTTGAAAAATGGTATCAATAACTGTCTATTAACTAATGAAATTCCACTTGGTAATCATTATGACAAACAAGATAGAGTATGTGTTTTTGAATCACCTCAGTAAATAAAAAATAAAAGAACTTTCTGATTAACTTTTATTGGTGAATGTGCTAAGGTATACTCTTATGTAGATAAATTGGTGTAATATTATTGTCAGTTATTTAATTTGTAGCGGGTATATTACTGGTATGACTTTTCCATGCTCAGTTATCACCATGTGTGATATTAAAATGCCGGGATCGAAATTACATTTTTTCACTGCATTAGTGGAATATATGAAATGCTTGTCTTTTACAAGATTCGCATTAAACCTCACGTTTTCACCATTTGTGTAAAATATTAGTGTCCCAGATGTCATTCAGTTTATATGTTCTGAGAAAAAAGTTAGATTCGGAGATCTTTGCTGATAATATTTAAACAAAACTGTGATAGAATCTATGGCTAAATATCAAAAACTGGTTATCTTTGTGTAATTATGGGAGAAACAAAAGCATTTATCTGGAAGATTTATTTAAATTTCACTGTTTATATGAATGACAAGGCAACATAAAATAGATGATATTACACACTGGATCTTTACATTCCAAATAATTACAGTAGTCGAATCAACTGTGTGAACAAAATACACGGTTTATCATGGTTAGTGACAAAGCAAAGTTAGAAAATGGGGATATTTCGTTTAAAATAACGAAACAGACTAAATAGATAAGCGAAAACAGCAAACTATCCATTATAACACTATCATTGGATGGGTGGATTTGTTTGTTATCTGTATTTACATGTGGATAACGTTAAAGACTATAATTAATAATTCAGACTGGGAACAATTCAAGCTAAAAGCAAATGGAATATCAATTCAGTACCCTAAAAACTAATCCGTAACGCAGATTATCTGCATATATATTTTTATTAAGGATATTAAATTGTTAATTTCCACCTATTTGGCTGGAGATAATTTACATCTATAGTGGTATTAAGAAGTACGGAAATATTTTTTGTCAATTTTACTGGTTGTGAAGTGGAATCGATGAATACAAGATAGAACAACAAATATGGGTTAAATTTAAGGTTAATTAAAATATTAATTTCATTTCTAACCTCATGACAACTTTCACAGATAGTTCCAGGATGCTTTGAACCTGTTGGTGCATTATCTAAAACACGTAAGTCGAATCCAAGCACACCGCAGCGATAATTTGCCACGATTCCAGAATCCCAGACAACAATAGCTTCTCCAGACGTATCAAATCGTCTTACGGAACCAACGTGACCTTCCCCTCCATCCTAAAATTTACGTGAAATAATCGGTAGCTCATGAATTATGTCTTTATCATTTAGATTCAGTGGTTCAACCACCAGACATTTTATGCACGAACTTGTAAACCAAGTAATCAAAACATTGTAAATCAAATAAAATGTAAAACACAATTATATGAACGAAGAATATCTTTTTCAACAATTTCTCATCAGATTGAAAGGAATATCTTTCGTTGATGTAAGTGTGTTTTAATATAATTGGAATTTTTCAGCGAATAAAATAAAATGTAATTTAGGAAAGTGTAAAAGTTAAAAGGTATCACCAGATTAACATAGACTTTGAAAGCACGCGGTAATTAGAATAACGTATAAATGAAAAACCCTTCAGGCAGGTTTGATCAGCACAAATAATAGTTTGAGACCATCCATTTACCAAGTTATAATTCATGTAAAAGCGTTCGATAGTAGTTCAGTAAGCTGAAAATCAGTTAGGGACTCAACAGGACTCCTCCATCACAGTAGATGAACTTCGTCAAAATAACAATCGTTACTTACTACAAATAATATTATAATAACGTCAAACAGAAAGTATATTGAATCCTCTGATACAGTTATTGAACATCCAGATTTTCAAAGTTCTACTTAACGGACTATCTTTAATCAGATAAATGACGGAAACCAAGAAGCTCTGAAAGGCTGGATTATTCTAGCATGAGACTAATAGACAGTGTTTATCCACGACCCAAACCAACACTGTTACTTCCGATATTCAGGTATCATAGCCTCTTATATCAAAAAGGGTCTGCGTTTCATATTTGATAACATTACAAGTGTTGAAGTGATGCAGAAAATTTCTTGCAAAAGACAAGCAAGGATCAGGAAACACTAAGAAGCATTTCATCCAATCAGCGTTCACTTGAAGTTTTAGCCAGAAACATCAAAGAAGTGAAGCGTCACACGTAGAGTTTCTGAATGGCTGATTGCTATATCGCTACTATGTTTAGTAGCATTTCAGAATCTTCGAACAGCCCAAGGACATTTAAAATATTATAAAAACCCTATATTTTCTGTATCAAAATGGACTTTTGGAGTAAAGTACTTCTCTCATACTTTGCGCCTTCTCTCTCGTGTTCAGGTCGCTGTATAGTTCTAGCTTGGGGGTTACAATAATAGCTTAGGAACCAAATATAGCTATCAATTAGCGAGACTTATCAACAAGAACATCCAAAAGAAAAAATTTCTGGAAGAATAAAACTTAAACCGGCATTTTTGGAAATAATTTTCATAGTTGTACTACTTCAGTGAAGTAAAATATAAAACTTTAGAACCTCTAGAGCTTTAATGAGTAAACATTTAGTTATGCAAATAAATAAGACTTTTTGGGACAATAATGTCAGTAGTGATAAGGTCAAATGGTTTATTAGAACTATCACCCACCATTAAGCCAATTTCACTAATTTAAATTATAGTGTACAAATACAAAACCCTACAAAGTTTAGTATTTCTGACTGCCAATCATTCACTTTGTCACAGCATTCACTCATATGTTTTCAGTACAGAAGCCAGCTGATCGTTATAAGATAACAACAGCCACCGAGTTTCAATCATCCTCCCAGTTAACTGCAAGTTTCCATTATATTAGGTCCATCAACTATTTCAAGTGAGCAACGTGGCTCAGATCAGAAACATTCAATCGGTCGCAGCAAACTAACACTTGTTATTAAATTAAAAACGTTTCATTCATTCTGACCGCTCTGACTTGAAATTATTTTGCCCGGACAAAAGAAAGCAATCATTCACAGAGATGTGAGTTTACAGTAGCTAACTTGTATAAAAGCGTCCAATCAGTCGCATAGCAATTTTGTCCCTGATGAAACATGAGTGAAAAATTTTTGCCGCTCGTCCTATGGCTGAAAAAGTTAGTTACAATCTCATTAATCAAAACGAAGTGAAATAGGATTGTGGAATGCAGTTGTATACTCACTAAAATAATATAATCACTAACATCGGTGACCATACGTTTTTTACATATTATGCATATTTTCTACCGATTTTATGGAAAATTTATTAGTTTTGGAGAAATCTTGGAGATGCTGCATTAAAAATTTTATAGAAATGAAACCAGAACCTCGAAATTCCCCTTGATCTCGGGAGTAGACAACCAATGTAGGTGATCTGTGTAGAATGATTGGGGACCTACTCAAGTCGGTGAGAGCAACGCTGTATCGACCAGTCCATGGCATAAGATGCGCGTTGGTTGTCCTTAACTTTGACAGGGATTGATGATTTGTTCGATATTCAGTGACCCAACTTCCGGATGATTTTGCTAGGATTCAGTGACATTTCACTGGCCCCACAGGGGTTTTTAGCCTAAATTTCAAATTATTTTGAAAAATCTTCGAGATAATTGGAAAAATTTAAGGTCTCCTCCAAGATTTCCCCGACAATTTTCAGGAACTTTGAAGAAATTCATTTACGTACTTCGGTAAAACCCCAAAAATTCTAGATATTTTGAGTAAAAACCCAATAATGTTCTCGTTGTTAGGAAAGAATATGGACCTACTTGAAAGACATCTAGAGCTTATCAGGCATATAAACTTTCTTTTTTTCAGTTAATTTGGCAAAATAACGCAATTCTAAAATAATTACGCTATTGTTGTCAATATCAAAATGCCCTTTGTATCACAAAAACCTAACCTGTATAAACGTTTTCTGTGGAAATAAATGGATGATTTTTAGAAGACGACATAGTGTTAACACGCAATCACAGCTTATTTATTTTAAAAACAACCTTATCTTACCAGCACTTGCAGTAACAAACGCAATATATAAGTATTACCGCAGTTATATTTGATACTTTATAAATGAAGTTGCATATTAAATTACGGAACAAATGTATACAACTCTGGCGTGAATATTTTATGTCTTTATAATGTTTGCAAATGCAATTGAATTTTTCCCCATATTAGAGGAAAGACCCCAAATTTAACCAAACTACCCCAGAATTCCTCCACAATCTAAAAATTTGACAAACTAGAAAAAATATGACCCACTAGCACCTGAGTGGTTTAAAATCTGTGATTGCATACACAAAAAACGATGGGGTTAAGTAAGTCTGAGAATAAATCCTATCAATTAAATATATGCATGAAAGTAGATCAACGATAGTCCTTTCTGTGACGATATCATAGTGAATAATGCTTATTTTTAGTGTTTTAACGGTCACGCTATCTTGTTTATAAGTGATATTTAGACATGAAAACTTATGGGGAATAATCGTAGTCAGTAAAAATACCTGTTTGTTCCATTTCCAATCGGGTCCACGAACAACCCTGCAGCCAACCCCTGTACAATATGTTCCAGGGTCGTGTAGTTCATTTTCAGAACCATTTTCTTGTTCAGAGAATCTTGTCATGTTCTCTTGTGTTGTTATGAAACAAGTACAAACTTATTCGCGAATAAACATTTTCTCTCAGTGTTTGAAAACATTCTATTAAGAGTGGAATTTTGTTGAATGTTTTAAACAAGAACTTGAGAATCCATATGAGATAGTGACTGCCACAGGCAGCTCAGCCGTCGCAACTGAATAAGTCTTAGATGCTGCTCTCATGTGAACTTTAACAGCTTATTTGACGACCTGATCGAAGTACCTTGAAGATGTCGAATTATTACACTAGATGTAGACATGGTTTTGAATGATTTCGAATATTTTTTGACAAACCGGACGAACTGATGAACATTAAGAAACTTGTCAGTTTTATTTTGGATTCACTCTAAAGCCTTTTTTATGTTTTTTACATGTTAATCAAGGCAGGAATTTATAATCAGTGTATAAAGTGTTGGAAAGGAAGTATGTCTAAGTACAACCTTGAATGACACTCGACACTCTCCTCCGATTCCTATAGGATTCATTGAGAAAGTCAACTGAACGATTCCACTTAAACATCAACGCCGGTTGGCATCAGACAGTTAACACCGAGCCGTTGAGCTGAGCTACACACTTACTCCTTGGCTATATAAGCTAAGTCGCCTTTCTGACAAGTGTACTATTTATGTCAAACTGGCATGACGGTCTCTTTTTTTAAGTATGATTCTTTATCTGAGGCATACACTAGTGAAATTAGTTAATATCTTGCTATTATCATTTCGGATTTTGCAAGATAACACTCGTCCAAATCGGTTGTCTTACTTTCAACAATTGTTATCAGGCTGAGACAACATATCCTAGACTATCACCAAGGAATGGAAAATAACAAAAGCCTTTTCGGAATAGCATCATTACCAAAGATAGTGATCTGTATAGTGAGGAACCCAGGAATATATTGTATAGGGTTGATCAAGGCATTAGAAATTCTGCGATACTCTTCCAGCATTTAAAACTAAAAAAATATGTTAAGGAAAGTCGTTTTCATTACTTTGTACAGACCACTTATAAAGAATTTCGTTTATTAACGTGAGAAGAAACACCTAAAGCTCGAAAGAAACAGTTAAAATAAAGACGAACTGGACACTGATGAGATTAGGGCAGTAATAATCATACAGCATCCATACTTGGAAGCTTCACGGTTCATTTTTCGAACTCATGTAGCTACTCACTGTGCATCTGCTCTGCAAATATCACCCCTGACCCTACGTCTTAGTGGTGTGAAATACTTTTTTACTTAAGAGAATTACAAATGCCGCTACCGATATGTGCAGGTTAGTCATTCGGGATGTTTCGTTTCGTTTGGAGAACAGATTTCTCATCTTTTCGACATGACGTATGAAGTTATCATACTATTCAGTCATCAAACTCATAGTGCCACCAAAATGGTGAATATGTATGGATTTTCAATAGTCGAATACGAGATGTGAAGCTATTGGTATTGAGCAACCTAGAGGTTTGTCTTGGTTTGTAACATGTTGTTTAAGTGACTGTAAACTAATGAACTTACCCTCCGCTAACATCAGTATTATGCTTCATAATGCAGTTGTTAACCTACAGTTACCATAGTGTCGTCTAACTTACATTCTGACAATCTTTACTTCTTGGACTTTCATAATCTGACTTAAGTCTGTCGTTAGAATATTGGTCACACAGACACTTTCGATTGCTAGTAAGCCAGATAAACGAATTGAATAAACTGTTTTCGTTCATAGCAATTTACCTCTCTTTTATGTTGCGTAATTTACTGAATCCCCAATTATTCTACCAACTGTTACGGCTAAATACTTGAAAATATCAAGTGACTTCAGAGCTTATTCGCAAATATACTGCTTAAAATGATATATATAAATGACGCTACAACACCTATACAGTGTTAGCCTACCTAGGAGTTCCCACTACCATGACACTAATTGTTCTAACATTTCGCAAGCCTGAAACGAACCAGTACGCGAAAGAGCGGGAAACTACTATGTAGTCCTCTCTAGACCATTACATGAACAGACATATAAATGTCGTCTTCGCATATGAAGACCAATTTAATCCTGAACACTTTTTACTTAAGGCCCTCCCGATAAATTACCTAGACATAAACACCTCCGCACACAAAACAGTTGAACCGAGTTGATGATAAATAGTAAGGTCGTCCGAACACATTGGTTGGAGAGTTTCGTATTCTTCTGTCAAGTCAAATACTTTTAGGTAGTGTAATAAGCTATCTATGGTTCACATGTTTGATGTTACTGACATAACACTCCTACTAAACCAGTTGAGTTCACTCAGTTAATTACAAATATCTGTACTATCTGAAATCTACTTTTATAGCGTATGGATCTACACTGACAAATCCAATAACCCTGGTCAAACTTCAGAAGCAGTAACCGGCCTCTTTATCCAGTACATGTTGTCGGATCTATTGTGACTATATCAACGTAACTTATATTCACGTCCTACGCATTCTTTTTCTCAATTTATTTGGTACTACCTGTCAAAAGGTTTATAAGATATGTAAAGGCATTTAAGTGATCAATGTATATTTGTATGCATATGTATAAAATCACGTAAAAGATCAGATGAATGGAGAAATATTTGCGACAACGGTTTATGGTAAGTTAACTACTTTATGGGTCTTCGCAACAATAAGTTTTTACAGTCAGATGGCTTTCTACGAAGTTCCTAAACTCAATAGCTTTTTAATTTTCGGCTTAATTTTGATGACACATTTTTTGTGATTATTTGCAAACATTCATTTTACGCTTCCACATGGAACTGTTTTATTTCGCTTTATATTTAGTTTTCGACATACATTTCCCTGGGAGAAATAAAGCTTAACAAGTTTGTGTGTTCCATCTTTCCATTTTTTGAATTGTATGCCCTAAGAATTTCATTTTTTTCAACAGGACTGAAAAAGCTTATTTGGTGCGCTAGAGACAATGACATTTAACACAGGCTTATGATATTATTGTGTTGTTAACATGCACGAGATACTATAAATTATCGACGTAGGTGGTCTGCATCGACGACTGTAGTTCCTTTGAATAAGACTGGAATGAGACGAACTATTATCTCACTTTGAAGTCACACCTCGAAGTTAATGTCAAATGTGGACCACCCTTCCTTAGTTTTCAGGTACTGTGGCCACTTTTATAACTGTATAGAACAAAATGATGCTGTCAAATCAGTTGTAGAAAAACCCACAGATTTAAGTCACTAGACAACAACAGTGAAACCTTAATTAGAATGCTTCTATTGGTCTCATTTTAACCACAATATACGTACACTGTGGTAAACGACATGCTGGTAGGACAAATCAACTGAAATCCGCGTGGCTTTTCGACAGTAGATGAAGTTCTAAGAAGAATGATAGATATATGACTTATAGAAGCACAGAAACGTGAACATGAAAACGATAATGGTCAAAATATCCAGCACAACAGCAAAGTGTCTCACTATGTTGCAATGTTATCACTAGGTAACTAGGTTTCTATAATGTTTATTAATATAGGGAAAGTCCTTAATATTTCTTGTTCGTTTCTCCTTACTTTTGTGAAGCTGATGGTCGTAACCAAGCACGACTGGTTTACGAATGATTAACGAACAGATCTAAATTCGTCCAAACTTCAAAGCTTATTAACATTTTCATACTAATATAAAGAATAACGAAGGTATTGTGAGTTCGTCAGTCATTAACAATGTAGAACCTGGTACGTACGTACATTATTTTTAATTGATAGACACCACTATCAAGGAGAGATTAAATCTCTAGAAGAAATCTCAAAATAGTAGAGGTAGTAACAGTTTCAGTTGGGAAAGAAAATATCAGGTGACGAAGACACGACTTAAGAGAACATAAACTATCAAATCAAAAGAATTACAAAGAACTCAGAAGCTAAGAATTCTGTTAAAGACAAAAAATGGATTGACCTGTGCTATTGCAAAAGATTTTGATCCATATCACTCAAATTCTCTAACAGTTTGTTACAAAACTCAAACGCATGTCAACCAGATAATCATATAGACCTATGGTCTAGTCCGGTGCTAGTACATTGATATTTGCTACTACTACAATAGATCTAATCCCGAAATTGTAGATTTGTCATGATGTTACAACCTATCTTTTATGGAAGTCCCACTGTTTTCTGCACTGACTAATCCAACGTGATCATCAGCAATATGATGTTTAGTACTTCTTAAAAACACATTTGGGCTGGAAATAGATTAATATATTTTAATGTTTATAGGAATTTATTACGAAGATGACCACACCTGTAAGGCTGAGCCATGCCATACCAACCAAATGTTTCCACTTTCACTACCCCATGTTGAACGTCGATGTCCTCAATAATTATATGTTTAACCTCAAGAATCGTGTGGTTAGCAACCGGTACCACTACGCCTGAACGAACAGTGCTTCGAAGACATCTATGATCGAATACCAATGACCAGTCGATATCTACTATTCATAATGTTTTATACCAATGAAGTTGAGCGGATCAAACTGGTGAAAGTAAACTTGTCCTTTGTTCAGTAGACGGTTGTTTCACCCAAGATGGGTGAAAGTTTCAAAACTCTCAGCTACCTTACTCTTTATTATTAATTCAGGCTCCGATACAGGACAGCCTTAAATCAATATTGTGCATTCGGAAGGCGAACTTTGCGTACCAAAAACCCTTACATAGTTAACTAAAGTGATTTTTTAAGTTCATTCCCCACAAAACTTTATTTTTATGGTAAACAAATATTCAGATTTTATATTACAAATGAATGAAGTACTAAGTTGATGAAGATCTTAGACTATACTCTATTGTCCTGGGCTAGCTGCCAATTAAACAATCCATCCAATTAATATAAAGTCAACACTAAAAATCCCAACGATCACTAACTGTAATGTCACACAATCAACTCGCTTGTTTACTATTCCGCATGATCGTATCAGTAATCGACCTATATATCAGATTATAATTCTCTCATAAGAAACTATAGTCTAACATTTGTGAATTTTTCTGAAGCAAAGAGATGTTTTCATCATTCAGAAAGAGGATGGATTGGATTACGCATAAATTAACTATGATGATTAGGAGTAATTGAATTA